CCCCCCCCCCCCCCCCCCCAAAAAAAAGGCTTGTTCTAAGTGTGACCATATTTTCTATATATAAAAAATAATTTGCTCATGCCTAAACATTTATGTAGTTATGAGTAGGCCCACACAAAATCTTCATACGTTTCATATTTTTGTTCATTGATTGTAAAATAAAATAAAATAAATCTCCTTTTGATCTTGAGGTGAAATGTCCTGGTTTGTTTTTTATGCTCTTGATATGTTTTATGAGATTCACCCTTCTACTGACAAAGACTATTTATTAAATGTCCCACAAAATAACAATATTGGATCATAATTTTATTACAAACCGATTTGTGTTTTATTGCACCAGTGATGTCAAAGACCTACATTTCAAAACAATAATTACATTTATACCTGATTTAACATTGCAACAAAACACTTAGCATTCTGCAGGGTGTCAATTTTGATCTCCTATAAACCTTCAAAGGTTTATCCGATTAGCTTTCCTCAGCTGAACTGTTCGTTCGCTCGTCTTCACAGCTTGCTCATAAATACTTATTAGAGAGTGCTGTCATAACAGAAAAATAGTTCACAGACATTCACAAGTTCAAAAGAAAACGGCTTGTCTTTATCATCAAAGTGTTCAGGAAATTAATGAGACATATCGAAGCATGTTTGCAGCCCTGTGGCAAACATCATATTCAAAACGGTGTTTTAGAAACAAACCATTTCAAGGCAAAAGCACATTTGTCAGTGCCAGTCTGGAGGACATTAGCATATCGCTATACTGTAGCTCTCATATAACATCCCATATCTCATACAATAGCAATTAAAAAGCAGCAGGTGATGAGTCTGTACCCATATGTTATCGCTGGCCTCTGAGGTACCGTACTGAAAAGGGTGTGTTTTAGTTGCCAGCTTTGTAAAAGGGCAGTCTGTGCTGAAACCCCTAGGTGATGTTCTCTCTCTGAGAAAAGTAAAGCGTGCATGACAACAGAAGGCTTTCCAGGATCAGTCCTTTGCACTGTGTGGTTTGCTTGCTAATTAACAGAGCACGCTGTTGGTCAGTGCATAACACAGTGGCCAAGCATCTCTGGGGGGCTGCAAATGGTAATACACCCAAAACTAACACTAACTGTGACAAAACAATATCTCAGAATGTTACTGGTTGGTCCTAAATGTGCCCATGTATTTATCTATATTTACCCACCCTCAACAGGTAACCAAAAGTTGATGTAGCTAAGAATAGGAAGCTAAAATCTGAGGAATCTAAATGAAAAATAATCGAAAAATGTTTTTTATATATATTTTCTTTACTGATTGTGAATCAAAACAGAATGAAACGATAAACAAAA